GTGGGGGGGAATGACCACACCTCAGCTTTGAAGATAGGGTCGGGGGTTGGCGACCCCACTCCTTTTCCGATTTTCAAGGAGAGAGAGAGGGGGGGCAAGGGAAAGACAGACTAAAAAGGGGTGGGAGGCCGGGAAAGGCCCAAGAAGAGGCCCCGGTCGAGCTGCATCAGGGCGTAGAGCACGCCCGTCATCTGCCTGCGGTGCAGCTCGACGCCGCCCCTGGTTAGGGCGGCATGGGCTGTGAGGAGAGAACGACCCCCCCCCCCCCCCCGTCTGCCGACGGCGAAGCCGCGCCTCTCCGCAAGGGCCCACAGCGCCGCCACCTTTGGCAAGCTGGGCTGCTCCTGCCTCTCGAGCTCCTGTCGGAGCAAGTACCCAATCTTGCGCCCCGCGTCCGCACCGCCCTGCAGCTCGAGCGACCCCTCGAGGCAGCGCATCTGCCCCTCGGCGTGGTCGAGCCGAACGAAGTGCTGCAGCATCCGGTCGTACCTGGGAGTGTCTCGGAAGTGTCTCGGAAGTGTGCCGGAAGTGTGCCGGAAGTGTGCCGGAAGTGTCTCGGAAGTGTCTCGGACGTGCGCGCCTACCCTCCTACCCTCCACCACCGCCCACCCCTGCGACGCCTCTTCTCCCTCCCCGCCTCTCTCCTCTCCTGCCGCCTCTCTCCTCCCTCCCTGCCGCCCCTCTCTGCTCTCTGCCCCGTCTCAACATCATGCCGGTCGCGGCACTCCAGAGTGGCGGGCGCTGTCGGCAGGTCGCTGTCCGCGGCATCCGGCCGGGTGATGGTTGGCTGTGTGGGAGAGAGAGATGGAGGCGGCTGCTAGGAGAGGAGGAGAGGAGGAGAGGAGGAGAGGAGGAGAGGAGGAGAGGAGGAGAGGAGGAGAGGAGGAGAGGGTGCGGACGTGGGCATCTGGGGGGCAGTACGCTCGCTGGTCGGGCGTGCGCCATTCCTCAACCATCCTGCAGAGCACCTGAGAGGGGCGACACGCCGCGGCGAGTGCGCGTGAGTCTGCTCTTGGCCGCGGCCCTCCTTGAGGAGGCGAGGAAGGGAGGAGAGGAGGAGGGGAGAGGGGAGGCGAGGAGGAGGGGAGGAGGGGAGGAGGGGAGGAGGAGGGGAGGAGGAGGGGAGGAGGAGGGGAGGAGGAGGGGAGGAGGGGAGGGCAAGAAGGGTTTGCCGCCCGGGGGGCAGAGCACTTGGTACGCGACGGCCGCCTCGTCGTGCCGAAAGGCGCCGTTGATGATGCGGTAGTACGTCGCCGTCGTCGGCGCCACGCCGCCGTGCCGCATGGTGGCCAGCGTCTCCTCCGCCGCCGCAAAGTCGCGCGCGGCCGTGAAGACGGAGACTAGCTCGTGGTACACGCCTGCAGCACCGGGCCCCTCCTCTCTCTCTCTCTCTCTCTCTCTCCATCTCTCGTCGGCACCGACTTTGTCGCGCAGGCCTCCCCACAGCTCCCCCACAGCTCCCCCACCTCTCCTCCGTGCCCCTCCTCCTTCTCCCTGCGTCGCTTCGGCGGCGGGCGAAGGGGGGGAGTGTCCTTCGCGCTCCGTGAGAGGGGTGCGGGGTGCGCAGGCGGCCCGCCCCCCCCTGTCCCCTGGACGCCAGAGCGACTGACTGCCCGGCCGGCGGTATGGCTCGCGGAAGGAGGCTTCAGAGGCAGAGGCGCACCGAGGTCCGCGGCGAGCCCTTCCTCCTTCATCTTCCCGAGGAGCTGGAGGGCGGCACCCTTGTCCGCGCCGCACCCCTTGAGCAGCGCGGCGTACGTCGCCGCTGTCCGCCCCATCCCCTCCCGCTGCGCAAGCGCCGCGCTGCAAACCTCCTCCGCCTCGGCGACGGAGCGTGTCACTGCGATCGCCTCGACATACGCGTCGAGCACGCGGGCGTCGGAGGCCTCGCCGCTCGCCGTGAGGGCCTCAAAGAGCTCGATCACGGCGCTGTACCGCCCCTCCTTCCTCGCCTGCAGGATCCCTTGCGACGCCCGCCGCCCATCGCCGCCCTCGCCGACTGCAGCTGTGCTGCCCGCAGTGCTCCCGTCCGCACCCTCGGCGGTGGCCTCGCGGGGGACTATCGCCGCGAGGTCGCGCGGCTCGTCCGGCGCCTGTGTCGCCGGTGCATTGACCGTGCCGCTCGCCGGCGGCGACGCGCTGCCCGCGACCTCTGCCGGCTCGGCGGCAGCGGCCGAGGGAATGGCAGAGAGCCCGCGCCGTGGCAGCGTCACACACGGCGCAGCTGCCGCCACGCTGCCGCTGCCCGGCCAGCGCGCGTGCGACGGCGGCCGGATCAGCCCGCGCGCCAGCGCCCGCCGGGCGAGAGCTGAAAGAGGGCGCGGTCGCACGAGGGAACCCAGCATGCTCGTGATGGCGGTCAAAAATAAACCCGTATCTGCAAGCACTCGTTTGCGTTTGTCGGCGCTGCGCGGCGTCACCCTAGGCGTCACTGTGCGTGTGGCCGCCCTGGACTCTCGCGTGTCTCACGCGTCCGCGCCAGCAGGGAGACGCACGCACGCGACGACGACGACCACCCGAACGAAGAAGCTTCTTTTGTAGAAGGCTAGGATTGAGAGAAGTCGGAGGATTGTGAGCAGCACTCACTCCTCGCAATCGTAGCATCTCTGTGCGATTGTGAGCACCCACGCTCGCAATCCTACACCTTCTAGGACTAAGAGCAGCTCCGCTCCCAAGATACTGGTGACGCCTACGACTACTACCAGCGCGCTCGCAATCCGAGCAAAGTCTAGGATTGCGAGCAGCTGGTGTGTGGTGACGGGAGGCGTCTCGGTGGTCTCAGGCCCAGTGAGGTAGTGCATCAGACTATCCCGGATCCTGCTGAACAAGCTCCTCTTGTAGCTCGATCGGTCACACCGCCATCGCCGTCGGGGAGAGGGGGGACGACACTGCTTCGGCAGCGTGCACCTCGATCCTGTACCGTGTTTGTTATGACCCCCCCCAATGAACACACCAGTGAGGGAGGGCGAGACGATCGAGGGGTCCCGTACCATGCGGAATCGACCCTATCCAGTGCTCAAGTGCTCAAGCAGCACGGCTCACAATCCTAGCAACATGCCTCCGAGCTCCGTGCTCCGATTGCGAGCAGTGCTGCTCGAGAGTGATTTGTCGGACTGGCCGCTCTCGTCGCACCAGATGCCAAAGCTATTGCCTCCATGGTGTCGCTTGCGGTCCGGCGTGAGCAGCGACGCGCAGCCGCTGTTCCCGCCGACGTTCAGGTCGCGCAGCTCGCCGTTGCCGGCGACGGGCGCGACGGCAAAAGGCGCGGTCGTGGTGCTGGCCGAGGGGCTCGAGTGAGTCCCTCACCTAGTGTCCCCGGTAGGCAAACTTTATTCAAGATCGGACCCCTGTCCACGCCCAAGCTGCGACTGGCAATCCCTCACCTTTCCGCTCTCGCGCCGCCGCCCGAGCGCACGCGAGTACTTCTCGATCAGCGGCTCGGCGGTGACGAGAAACGCATTTGGAATTTTAGGCAGGACCTCCACGTCCATGGTGTTGCGATCGCTTGAGCCAATCTCAAGCAGGATCGGCGTGGCGTCTACCGGAATAGGGAGCGCGCCGTCCAAGAGCATGCCAACCTGCATCGGTGCCATTAGCCTCGTGCACGCATCGCACGACCTGGCGCACGTGCGGCGCACTTTTGTGGTGCAGTTCAGCGTGCCTTGGCGCTTCATTCTCTCACACGTGCTCGCAGGCTGCAGCAAGTTGCGGCAGGTTTGGAGGTGCTCCATGTCTGCAGCGGAGGTACCGACCGCCAGCGCGAGCATTGTGAAAAAACAGGTACCGTCACCGCCTCGGCGCACGGCGTACTGCTGAGCGCCAGCGATGAGCTCCGTTTGACTTGCGAAACTTACGGCGTGACCGACCGGCGTGACTTGGTTAACAGACCTTGTTATTGACAAGAAAATACATCCTATGGCGCTTTGCGCTGGTCTATGAGAGGTTGAGGTGCGAGCCCTGGAGGCCCTGGGGATGGGGGGAGACTACCCGCGGGCCTAGAAGGCCCGCGCGCAGGGGGGTGGGACATCGAGATTGAAGGCGGAGGTGGAGGCGGCGGAGGCTCGGCGAGCACGGCTGGGAGCGGCAGAGGATTCAGGATCGGTGCAAGCACTGATCTGAGAAGAGGGGTGGCTTTGGTTGGTCACGATCGGGACGGATGACACGTCTGTCTGATGCAGACAGACATGCGGTCACCCTCGATTCCTGTTTGTTGAATGATGAAGCCCTCTTCGATGCAGTCGCAGGAGTGATAACCCATCGAGGTGGGAGCCGCCTGCGGCATACTGAATCCTCCACCAGTGGCGCAAGCCCGCTCGTCCCGACGCTGGAGCGACTCGTCCACCTTCCCAGCCACACCCTGCACAGCAGCATCCTCCTCCTCCTCACTGTAGTTGTCCCACCCGTCGTCGGAGTCGTCGCCACGGCGCTCGAAGCGGCAGCAGAGCTCCTCTTCCTCTGCTTCCTCTGCTAGCAGCTGCGCCAGCACTGCCTCCCACTCAGGGTCGGCAGCAGAGCCAGCATCGCTTTGAGCAGAGCAGCGCATTGCCACGTCCTCGTCGCAGAGCTCCACCGCGGCGAGAGACGTGGTGACAGTGGCGACCGACGTGCCAGTGGCGCGGCTGGCATCGCCAGCAGCGAGGCCGCCAGCATCGCCCCCGCGCACCGCGGCCATGTTTGTCCCCGTTACGCCATGGTTAACACGTGCGCGTGCGCGTGCGCTGATCAAGGCTGGCGCCTCAGCAACACCCCAGGGGCTGTGTCGGTTGCGGACGGATCAGATGGAGCGATGGCTGAGGTGGTGTAGCTAGCTCTGAGCAAAAACGCCAAAAAAATCGGCGCCTGCGGCGGGCCAGCCTCCGCGCTCCGGCGGCGCCTGCGGCGGGCCGCTGGGGCCTCCGCCCCAGACCCCGTTTACACCCGAGCTATGCCCCACGACCTGAGCCGGAGCCGGAGCTAAAATTCTTTTGTGTGTGTGTGCCAGTCCGCGCCAGTCTGCGCCCTTGTCGTGCCAGTGTGCTGTGAGAGAGGCTTGTATTTTGACCGCGCAAGACAAAGGGTGGCTAAGGGCTCTGCCCGCAAGGCGCCCGCGCGCGTCGCCGACGCAGTGTACCATTGACTAATCCCGGAATACACAACAAGTTTGGCTAACTCCATAACATAACGCTTCCTTCGATTGGACGGACGAAATGATCGCGGAAAAGCGGGACCGCATCGCGACATCGGGGGTTCACCATATGCCGAGCATATACTCGGCCTGCCATGCGCGCCGCGCGCGCGCGCCTCGCCCGAGCGCAGCCACCTGCGGACCTGGCCAGCCTGTTCCTGGCTCGTGCCCAGCCTCTCCTTCCGCTGCCGCCAGGAGCCTCGCAGTCCCGCCAGCCATCACGCTGCAGAGCCTGCGTAGACGCCACAGACCTCAGACGCCAATTCTGCAGCCCACGCAGCCCTGGCAACTCGAGGGCCAGCAGTATACGACGACGACGACATCTCACACCCCGCGCTGACCAGCGCCATCAGCCCCTCACGGCCCGGCCCAACCTTCCCTTCCCCACGCTCCCACCACCGCGTGTCGTGTCATGAAGCATGATTGATAGACATAGAAAGCATGAACCATCGAAAGGTCTGATCTCCAAAAAGAGCTGTCGGCCTGCCGCGCGCGCCCGCGCCCCGCCCCTTTTGCGCAGCAACACCTTAAACTTCGTGGCCCTCCAAATTCGGGTCGGAGCGCAGCGGAGTGGGCCCCGAGTTTGAAAAAGGCGACGGACGCTTGCGTCCTAGCCTCCAACAACGCCTCCCCGGCGCAGAGGGGCCCCCGGAGGGATGCTCAACCGCACCACGCCACGCCGCTTGCGGCGGTCCTGTTCCCAGCTCTGCTGCCGTTATTTCTTTTTTTGAGACCTGAAGTCTTGTCGGGTCCGGCTAGCGGCTCGGGTGTTGGTGTGCTGGAGTTGCCTTTGAGCTAACTGCGTAATGAGGGCGCTCCCGTGCCTGCTCGTCATCCTCGTGCTGAGCGCTGTCCTCTTGCAGCTGCTGCCGCGCGCTCGACCTGCTGCCGGCCGAGCCACTGCCAGCGCCTCGCGCGACCTGCACCTCGAGAACCATCACCTGCAGGCCGAGCTCAAATCTCTGCGCGACCGGCTCGCATCGACGCCCATCGTGGTCAAAGATCGTGCATCTGCAGCGGCAGCGGCTGAGGCGCAGTCGAGCTCCACCGCCGCCTCTGTCGCCTCCTCCACCTCCTCTGCCTCCGCCGCCTCCTCACCCTCACCGTCCGCCTCCGCCTCCGCCTCCGCCTCCGCCTCCGCCTCCGCCTCCGCCTCCGCCGCCGCCGCCGCCGCCGCCGCCGCCGCCGCCGCCAGCGCCACAGTCAGCAAGGCGTGCGCAGCCGGCTGCGAGGCGAATGGCGGGAACTGCAACCGCCAGCTCGGGCGGTGCGACTGCCCGCCGCTGAGGCAGGGGGACGCGTGCGAGAAGAGCGCGGCGCCGCGCTGCGCCGAGCAATGGGGCCTCTCGCTGCCTCTCCCTCCGTGCATGGCCCTCGCGGAGCGGGAGAGCGCACACCTCGAGTTCCCGCCGACGTGCGAGTGCTTGATGGAGTGCCACGCGCTCAACCTGCGGGTGGTCTACGTCGACAACTGCGTCAACGTCTCGGGCAAGCCGCTGGCGCCGCGGGGGAAGGATCCGCCGGCGCCGGCCTCGCACCCGTTCGAGGACCCGTTCGGGGACGGCCGATGGCTGCGCCAGGCGTACTTCCCCTCGCGGCGGGACCCTCCCGTCTCTGCGGCGGCGCTGCTCGCGAGGAACCGCGAGCTTGGGGCGCGGCTGAGCGCGAACGCGAGCGCGACTGTCCGAGCGAACCGCTGCAGCGGCCGAGGCATTCTGACGGATCTGATGCCGTGGGCGCCGCCGCGGTACAAGGGGCGCGGCCCCGCGTGCCACTGCTTCCCGGGCTGGTACGGTGTCCGGTGCGACTTGACCGAGCCTCCGCAAGAAGTCTCGCGCCTGTCCAAGGTCAGCTGCGTGCACGACTGCTCCGGCCGCGGTTTCTGCCGGCTCAACTTTTGCCACTGCGTACCGGGCACGTGGGGCGTGGACTGCTCCAGTGGGGCGCCGGACGCGGACGCAGCGGCCGCAGCGATGGCGCGGGCGCACGCCCAGTCTTCGTCCCGTGGCGCGTGGCCAATCTCGAACTGGAGTCGCGGGATGATGCGGCAGGGGCTTCCTCGCCCCATCGGCCCGCCCCCCGCGCTCCGCATCTACGTGTACGACTTGCCGCCGCGCTTCAACATATGGCTGGCCTCTCACTTTCGCGAGCCGGGGAGGTGGGACCAGTCGTACCTCTACTCGGCGGACCTGAAGATGCACCGCTGGCTGCTGCGCTCTCCGCACCGCACGCTCGACCCGGAGGAGGCTGACTTCTTCTTCATCCCGGCCTACCTCTCCCTCGGGTTCTACGACTTTGAGCTCGGCCTCTACTGGCTCGCGCAGCGCGGCGCGGCAATGATGCGCGAGCTGCTGGCGTACGTGCAGAGCGCGTGGCCGTACTTTGCCCGCCGCAAGGGCGCCGACCACGTGCTTGTGATGACAAACGACAAGGGAGCGACCTTCATCCGGTGGTCCGTGCCGCAGCTCGAGAAGGTGGTGCTCGTCACGCAGTGGGGGTGGAAGAAGTCGCACATCCACCGCCCGGGCCAGGACGTCGTCGTGCCGCCGATGCTCAAGGTGGACAAGCTGCTGCACGAGTCGCCCTTCCTCCGCCACTCGCAGTCCGCGGAGGCGTCCGCACGCGCCTCGGCCTTCGCCGCCGACAACGACCGCGGCGCGTGGCGCTACCTGCTCTCCTTTGTCGGCTCGGTCCGCTTCCACACGCCGGGCTACTCGTTTGGCGTGCGGCAAAAGATCTTCCGGCAGTACAACGCCACGGAGGGCTTCCTTCTACGCGACCTCCGGGGCGACTCCACGCATGGGGTGCACAAGAAGCTCGAGCCGGCAGAGTACCTGGCGGTGCTGCAGCAGTCCAAGTTCTGCCTCGCCCCCTCGGGCATGGGCTTCTCGACCCGGGTCTACGAGTCCATCGCACAGGGCTGCGTGCCGCTCATCATTCAAGACGACCCGACGACAAACACGTCCGTCGACTCGGCCTATGCGGAGCTGCTGCCGTACGACCGCTTCTCGCTGCGGCTCTACCAGTCGGACATCCCGCGCCTCGAGTCGCTGCTGCGCGCGGTCCCCCTCTCCCGGTGGCGCCAGCTGCGCAAAGGCCTGGCCTGTGTTTGGTCGCGCATCCTCTGGCTCCACCCGGACAACGAGGCGCCCGGGGCGCAGGTCTCGGTCGAGGAGTCCAAGCGGGCGACCACAACCTCCCTCGGCCGCGAGAGCGGGCTGGAGGAGCACGACGCCTGGCACGCCCTCCTCGAGACGCTCCGCCGGCGCGCGCTCCTGCGGCGTGGCGTCAAGCCGCCCGTCTTCGACTGGCGCTCCCCGGCAGCCAGCTGCGATCGGGGGACGGTCCCGTTGGCGTTGCACACATGAGCCGTGTGTAAGGGAGCGGAAGGCGTTTATTTATTTATTTCTGCTTCACGGTGGTGCTCACGGAAAATGCAAAAATAATCCAATCCACAGAGAGCTCACTTGGCCTCTTGCAAATAAAGACTGCGGAAAGCACCACCCTGAATAGAGCCCGCCCAGCATCTGACTCCGCTCCCTAAGTCGAAGAGGAGCATCATCCAGTCTCACCCACTTCGCTCGCTGCCCACTGTCTCCGCTCCCTCCCGCTTGAGCCGCCGTCGCGGCCCTCGTTCGTCGCCACTGGCGTGTTGGCCTGTCCCCACGTTACCCCCTTTATCCCTCCTGGCCTCCGCGACTCCCTCAAGCCTCAAGGCCGGTGGGCCTCCTTCCACCAGCGAAGAGCTTCCTCAGCTATGCGCGCCGTAGCCTCATCATCGAGCTGATCTCCACCTCTGCACGCCACCGCTCCCGTCGCCGCCTCAGCCACGACTTGCAAGTTCCTCGTGACCCCGGCGCCACGGTCCCTCCGGCTCTTCTCCGAGAGATCATCTACCAGTGCTGGCAACACCCCCCCGACGGCAGGGGCTAGTGCATCGTACCCGTCCTCATCCAGCACCCTATAGCGTGAGCCCTTCAGCGCAGCGACATGCGCTACCCTCAGCGTCTTCTCAGCGTATTGGAGTCGGGTGCCGCCTGGGCTACTTTGCTGATCGCCGTCCCCGTCTGCGCTCGCGCTACTCTGAGGAACCATTTAGCCTGCTCCCTATTCCCCAGGCAGGCGCCGCTAAGCAAGTGCGCCACATCGTCGCTCTAGGCGGGTTCTCATCTTCCTCGGTCCATTGCTGCGCGGCTTTCCGCACGAACAAGTCAATCTCACACGCTCGCGCCGTGCTGATCCTTGATCCAAATCTCAAACCGCCCCGTTTTTAACCAAACGAGCCGCCCCCCCCTCGGACACGTCCCTCCCTGTCCTCTCCACTGGTTCCTCTACTTATAGCCTCCATCCAGCCCCGACCCAACGGGGACGCCACTTAACCCCTCGCCATGCCCCTCGCCCAGCCAGGGATGTACAATGGTCAATGCTGTCTTACTTAATTAAGGTCCGACCTGCGCTCCCTGCACCGGCACACCGACTCGGTATTTAGGCTGTATCCTCGGTCGCGCTGTCGCTACCTTCCACCGCTTCGCCTTCGTCTCCTTGCTGCGCAGCAGGGTGTAGTTCGGGCCCACCTCCGCCACGCTGTCCAGCACGTGGGCGGCGCTCGCCATCTCGACCGCGTCGTCCTCCGGCGGAAGCTCTGCGTCGCCCGCGGCCGCTCCCCGAGCGCGCTCGTCGCGCATCCGCTCGTGGTGGGCCTGCCGACGCGCCACGCCGGCGCCCGTGTGCCTCGCCGCCGCGTCCGGCGACGGCATCGATCGCTGCCACAGGTCGTCCCACAGGTGTCATCCCACAGGGTCGTCCAAAAGAGGACGCATCCAAACCGCCGCATTTCGCCCGCCGACGAAGAAAGTCTCCCACTCGCGCCCTCCCCAAATCTCGAGTCGTCTCTCTTTGAACATACAACCATACTAGTAAATAAAAGCGGAACACAGACAGAACAACACCCACAGAGCATTCAGCCACAGTTCATACTTCATTCATCCAGCCAACACAGAAACGATCCCGAATGATTTGCACATAGAGTGATGGAAGCCTCAGTTGTTCGTTAGCACCGAGGGCCTGAGAGATGGCTCGTGCGTGCGCAGCTGCAGTCAATTGTCCAAGGTCGCGATAATGGATGCCATCCTACACCCTTCGCAAACCTGTACAGAACCTGAGGGAGGGTGTAGAGGATGTAGAGTGTAGAGCGCTGTAGAGCTGTAGAGATGTAGAGCGCTCTGGAGCGCTGTAGAGCTCTAGAGCTCTACATCGGGCGCGGGACGAACTGCGTGCGTTGTAGAGCGATGTAGAGCGCGATTTTGCTGTAGAGTTTGTTGTAGAGGCTCTACAACCAACCCGCCGGGAAGGCAGTGACTCAAAGAGGTCGAGTCGCACTAATGGGATGTCTCCGAGCTTACTGGAGCTCTAATGGACGGCCCTGACTATCCCTGACACACAGAGAGTCACTCTGATGGCACACAACACCCCATAACTGCGTCATCACCAGCCTGCCATGCGTCGCCGGTGCCGCATTCATCGCAGTGCTTCTTTAGCAGGCGGTGGACTGTCGGCGGCGAGGACGGTCGCATTTGCGCAAGGCGAGGCGAGCATTCAGACGCGTTGCATGCGCCATGACTCGCGCCAGCGCGTGCGGGAGCTCCTGGCTGAGCGTTGAGTCCAGGCGAGTTGCGCTGGCCACTATCGCTACGCCGAGCCGAGCTGACGCGCCGAGGCGCCGGCCAGTCACAGCCGTGAGGCATGCCACAGCAGCAGAGGCACCTCCCACCCACTGGGCGGGCGGACAGAAGGCCAGGGCAGCACTGGCGAGTGCAACGCGCCTCATGTCGGAGAGCGACCGTGCCTCGTTCGCCGCTTATCATCTTACCTTATATTTCCCCGTGTCCTGTTTTCCGTTTCAGCAGAGTGAAGCCGCCACCCAGCACACATGTACATGGTGCCCCTCGGCAAGGAGCGCGCTCCGGCGCCGTCCACGACGTCGTCCGCCGCCGAGGACGCGGCGCCGGCGCAGCACTGAGGTTCGCAGCACCCGGCTGAGCGCTGAGGGAGGCGGCGAACCAGCTGAGCAACAAACTTTCGCACGCTCAGCACCTGGACGAGGTCACATGGACCACCAAGAACTGGCACGGGCTGCAGATGCAGCGCTTGTCTGTCGTCCTCCACACCGCCGTGGCGTGGCAGACGGTGAACGAGCTAGCGTGCGGGGAGAGCGGCATTGTGCACGGTGCGGAATGCATTGCCGTTCTTAACGGAGTCGCTTAGGCGGCTCCGGTGGTGAGCCGGTGTGTGTGCCAGTCCGCGCCAGTCCGCGCCCTTGTCGTGCCAGTGTGCTGTGACAGCGCTGGAATTTTTTTTCTCCAGTGCTCTGCCCTCGTCGCGACCGGTGCACTGGTCACCAATGCCGGAGGCGCCTGCTCCGTCCACGGCGCTAGCCGACGCGTCGACCGCGCCACCGGCCGAGAACGACGAACACTCTCTCATCTGGGCAATTCGCTGCCTCGAGTGTGACGTTGTCGAGAAATTCCTCACTGAGGGTGTGTGCCCGCCCGCGGCCGCTGCCTCCAGCGCATCCTTGCACGGCTCGCCTGCCAGCGGCGCCATCCTCGAGCCCGCGCCAACCCGCGTAGGTGTGACCCAGCGCCACCTTGATTGCGGGCTGCACGAGGTCGCGACTGGCGAGCGCCACTCGGTCGTGCACCAGGAGGCGCGGCTGCAGATAGCGACGCGGCTCGTCGAGTGCGGCGCCGACCCCGACAACCGGCAGCATGGGTGCGGAGGCACCCCGCTCCACCACACGCTTGCGGGCGGCTACGTCGAGCTCGTCGAGTTCCTGCTCGACGCGCGGGCGGACGTGAACGCCGCCAACCGATACGGGGTGCACCCGCTGCACATCGCCGTCAAGCGCGAGTACACCGACTGCATCGCGTGCCTGATGTCGCACGAGCTGCCGCTCGACAAGGTCAAGGAGGAGCTCGGCTGGGCCGTCCAGTACGATTTGGGCGACGCCGTCCGCTGCCTCCTCTCCAACGGCAGCGCCGCCAGGGCGGAGCGCGCACGCGCGTTGCTGGCCGCGCCTCTCACCGCTCTCCGCCGGCTGTCGACATAGGCGCTCCGCACGGCATGCGCGTGCTCTGCCCGTGGACGTGCGGCGCGCCGCGCTGCGGCTCCTCCCGCGACCACTCCCTGCCGCTCGGCTACTACCTCGTCCTCCGCGGCTGGCGCATCCCCGCGCTGCTCGACGTGCTGTCCAAGGGCGAGAGACAGTCTAGAAGCGGAAGGCCAGTCTGAGTGTGCTCCAACCAGCGCTCGAGACGGCACGTATTTGGCTGCACTCGACCGCCTTCGCCTCGCTCGTACTCACGCGGTGCTGAATACACTGCACAGTACCGCACCCCCTGATGTCGCTCGTCCTCACGCTGCAGGCTGGACAGAGCTGCAAGCCGCAACGGCGGCCGGCGAGACGGAGGCGGTGCGGCGGCTGCTCGACAGCGACGAGTCGGGGCTCGGGGAGGCGTCCATGCCGTACAAGGCGACCCTCCTCCACCTCGCCGTCTACTCGGGCGACCGTGACTTGCTGCAGGCACGACACGTCCGACACGCCCACGACACGCCCACGACACGCCCACGACACGCCCACGACGCATCCACGACACGCCCACGACACGCCCACGACGCATCCACGACACGTCCGCGACACGTCCGCGACACGCCAAGACGCCCTTGCGTGGCCCGCGGCACCACCGTGGCCCGCCTCATCGCCCGCCCGCTGATGCGTCGCCGGTCGCCCGTCTTCAGATGTTGCTCGAGCGCGGCTCGCCCGCGCTCACGCCGTCGGCCACCGATTGCTTCGGCCGCACCGCCCTATGCTACGCCGCGTGTAAAGAGGAGCCAGAGATGAGCTCGTTGCTGGTGCAGCATGGCTGCAACCAGGACGCGCAGGACCGCGACGGCCGCTCCGCGCTGCACATCGCCGCCGCCATGGGGCACGTCGAGCTGCTGCGATTGCTGCTCTCGTCCAACGCCGACCCCGCCGTCGCGGACGCGCAGCAGAACACCGCGCTGCACTACGCTGCGCTGGAGGCACGCGAGGGTGCGATCGCAGAGCTGCTCAGCTGGCCGGCGGTCAAGCCGCTCCTCGGGTACCGCAATGCGTCCGAGCTGCTGCCGCTCCACCTCTCGACAGCGGCCGGCGACAGCCGGTGCGTCGAGCGGCTGCTCGAGGCTAGCGGCGACGTCATCGACGTGCGCGTGCGCGACGAGGGGACGGCCGCGCACATGGCGTGCGAGAAAGGGCATGCTGAGGTGCCCACCGCCCTCGCCGCCGCCCCCGTCTGGGCTGCCGCCGCTCTCGCCCTCAGCAGCAGCAGCGCCACTGCCCTCGCCGCCACCGCCACCGCCGCCGCCCATTTTCCCGCCGTCCCCACCACCGCCGCCGCCACCGCCGCTCCCGCCACCGCCGCTTCCAGGTCCTCGAGGCGCTGCTGCGCAACGGCGCCGACATCGAGGCCCACGTCACTCCGCTCGAGGACCCGAGGACACCGCTGCACCTCGCGGCCGAGTGAGAACCATGCCCCAACAACCTCCGCCCATAGACACCCCCCCCCCCCCCCCGCGCCCCCGCTCTCGCCCCGCTGCACATGCCCTCCGCCCCTACAGCCCATAGACCCCCCCCACCCACGCCCCCGCTCTCGCCCCGCTGCACATGCCCTCCGAACTATCGCCATGGCCCCCGGACGACCTCCCACCCCCACGACCGTCTGCTCACGCGTGTGCCGCTGGCCGGCCCGCAGGTATGCGCACGAGGAGTGCGTCTCGCTGCTGCTTGAGCAGGGCGCCGACCCGACGGCGGAGCTGCCAACCTCGTTCCTGCAGCAGTTCAAGAACTTCCGCTTCCTCGTCCAGCTGCTCCGCCGCTCCTCCTGCCACGCCGCCGCCCTCTCGCAGCACTTCAAAGACGACGGGTGGAAGGAGTGCGTCAGCACGCTCGACAAGGCGCGATAGCAGTCCGCCTAAGGTAGCAGCAGGACGTCAACCACTGCTGTGGCATAGTGCCTATGGATAGAGCTTCCAGGAACACTCACCCGTTTGGCCGCCACTCGACGCCGTACAGTAGCTAGCACTGTGCGCCGGCCAAGGGAAGAGCACCCCCGAGCCGAGCCGAGCCGCACTTGAAGCCGCACGAGAGCCGCTCGGCGCCTGCACCCCCCCCCCCCTCTCCCTCCACCGTACCCCTCCCCCCTTCTTGCTGCCAGGCCATTGCGCAGCGCAAGAGCGGCCGCCCGCTGATGCTCACGAGCAGGACGGAGGGTAAGAACGGGAAGCGGTCAGGCGCCGACGCCTCGTGCGCGCTCGCATCAAGCCCGCGGCGTGCCAAGGACACGGGCAGCCGAAAGAGGAAGTCAAAGGGCGAGCGCGCCGCGGCGAGACAGGGCGCTGAGCAGCCAGGCGAGGCGGAGGGGCGAGGGTCGCTGTCGGAGGCGGCCTGTGACGGCGCCACTTGCGCGCCCGCGGACGGGTCGGCTGCGCGGCGCGATTGCCACCTCTCGAGCGTGCAGCACGAGTGGTGGCAGACAAAGTCGCACCTCGTGGTCGAGGTCCACTTTGCGCGTGCTTGCCCCGCCGAGGTGGGCCAGATCCGGGCCCGCTTTGAGGCCAATTCGGTGCTGGTGGATGCGGGGCCGTACCGGCTGTCGCTGTCGCCGTTCGCTGCCATCGATCCCACTGCGTGCAAGATCCTCCTCATCGGCGAGGGCGTGATGGCGCTGCAGCTCAGGAAGCGCACGGCGCGAAAGTGGCCCGCGCCAGAGCGCGAGGCGGCCGCCGCGTCGGAGGCGTCGAGCGTCGGTGCCGCCCGGGATGTGCAGCCCGCTCCACCCGCCGGCCCGGCAGTGGAGGCGCTTGTGGCGGCGGCGCAGTCCAAGGGGAGCAAGAAGCAGAAGCGGCGGAGCAGGCAGGAGATAGCGGCCGGCGGGCGCGTCTTGGCGGCGACGGAGGAGGCTGAGACCGCGCCCCTCGGTGCCGCCGAGCCGCTTGCTCCCCACGGCAGCGACGAGCAGTCGCTTAAGCCGCCGCTCGGCGACGCTGCGGGTCGGGGAGCGGTCGCCACGCCGGCGGAGGCGGAGGCGGATGGGCCAGACATGGACGAGCTAGACGACACCGCGCCTTTAGATGCCGCCGCCGCGGCGGCGGCGGCGCAGGCGGCGGCGGCGCAGGCGGCGGCGGCGCAGGCGGCGGCGGCGCAGGCGGCGGCGGCGCAGGCGGCGGCGCAGGCGCGGCGGCAGCAGCAGCGGGGCACTTTGTTCGAGATGCTCGAGGCGGCGCCGTCCGGCGACGATTCGGCGCTCGTGGAGCGGGTCCTGTCCGAGGCTGGCTGGCGGAGGGAGGTGCCCGCCGAGCCGCAGCTTGAGAAGCTGGTCTCGAAGCTCCTCTTCCAGCCCCGCCCGGCGCCGGCCGCCGCAAAGGCGGCCGCCGCCCTTGAGCGCGCGACGCGGCCTGGCGCCACCGCATTCATCGAAGCCAAGCTGCTCGAAGCCCTCGAGGAGGACACCATCTCAGCTGCGCCCGCGAGCGAGGCTGTGCCGTCCGTGGAGTGGCCGCCCGTGGCTGAGAAGGAGTGCCTCGACGATTTTGCGGTGGCGAAGCGCAGGGACAGGCACAAGAATGCCGTGGCCGACGCCAAGCCGCTCGCTGACGCCAAGCCGCTCGCTGACGCCAAGCCGCCGGCTGCGCCCGATCCGGCGCCGCCGCGAGACGAGCTGCCCGCTGCCGGCCGAGGTGGCCAGCTTGCGCCGCGAGGCGCGCGCGCCGGCAGCGTGGCGGATGAGTCACCGCCCTCCTGCGCCGAGGCTCGCGCTGCGGTGCCCGCCTTGCGGGCCCCCGTGGTGGTGCCCCCTCGCCCGCCCGCTGCTGCGCCGCCGGCAGAGCATTTGGCCCCTCCGCTCCTGCGCCACGACAGCGCACCCGGGCGCACCGCCTCGCCTTGGGCAGTCGCCGCCTCTCCCATCGCCGGTGCCGAGGCGGCGGGAGCGTCGGCGGGAGCGTCAGCGGGGGCGGGGCGCCGGCCACCGAGGCGGGCCGGGTCGGGAACCTACAACGGAGTCGCAGCGTTGCCTGCGCTGGGCGGGCACGGCCTCGGGGCCGCCTCGTTTGGTGCCGCCGCGTGGGGTCCTCCTGCCGTGCGCCGCCCTCCTCCCCCTCGCGCCGCCCCCGCGCCGCCCCCCGACCCGTCGCCGCCCCCCGCCGACCGTGGAGGCGCCCCCCTCGCCGAGCCGGCGGCCGGAGCCGCGGTGTTGGCCGAGGAGGAGCAGCAGCTCGAGCAGATGCACGACTTGGCTGACTCGATGATTGGCGACTTGTGGGACGCGCCGCTGCCGGCGCTGCCGGACCTCAGCGACGCGGTGCTCCCGCGCGAGAGCGCGCCGACGTCGCAGCTCGCCGCGCTCCGCAGCAAGTCTCTCGAGGCGCCCGCGCCGGCGTCCTCCACCTTCTCGTACGCATCTGGCACCCGCCCGTGGGGGGCGGCTGCCCCGCCGGCAGAGGGCTTCCCCGGACCGGCACCTCGGACGTCGCTCCCTGCGCCCTCCTCGCTGGCGGCGCTCGCTGCGCAGTCCGCCTCGCGACCCGTCGAGACGCGGCCGCCCGCCGAGGAGGCGGCGAGAAGCTGCTCTCGCGTTTGGGCGGCGATGGCCAGCAGCCGCGGGCAGCCGCCTGCTCCGGCGGGGCAGCCGCCGGCGCATAACGCAGCGGGCGTCCGGCGGCCAACACCCACGGCGTCGCCGCAGGCACAGACGCCCGCCCGCCTCTCGTCCGGGCCCCAAGACGTGACCAAGGACTGGCGCTGCCGCTGCGGCACCATCAACAAGGCGGGCACCTACCTCTGCTCCTCGCGCTCTTGCCACTGCTACTTTTGCCTCCGCTGCGGCCAGACGGGCCACCAGCAGCGCTTCTGCCGCCTCGCGCCCCCGCCCGACAGCGCGCCCGCCTCCCGCGGCGCGCCTCTTGGGCCCGGCTCCGAGACTCTTCCGGCGTGGCGCCCGGGGCAGCAGCAGGATGTCACGCGCGACTGGCGATGCAAGTGCGGCGTCGTCAACAAGGCGGGCTCGTTCATCTGCGCGAAGCGAGGCTGCCGCGTCTACTTTTGTCTGCACTGCGGCGGCCTCGGCCACCAGCAGCGCTTCTGCCGGCAGGCCGGCTCAGCAGAGGCCCCCCCAAGCGGTGGCTCAAGCGGCGCGAGCCCTGCCGCGAGCGCCGCGGCAGCTGGGGCGGGCAGGGAGGGAAGTGGGAGGGAGCGGCGCGGCCCAGCAGCCTCGAAGCGAGCGGTGGAGCCGGACGAGTCCGTGAGCGAGTGCGTCGTCTGCATGGACGCGCCGATCCAAGTCACGCTCTTCCCGTGCAAGCACAACATCACTTGCGCCAGGTGACCGCCCGCTTGCCCCCGCCCCCGTTGAGATGGCGCGACGAAGCACGTGCATGGGCTGGCCGCCGGCCCGCCTCGATTTTCGCCACTAATGAGTCAGCCGCTCATGGAGTTTTGTCTCGGTGTTCCGACTTGGATATGGGCACACGGCGGCAGGAACCGCGCTTTGGCCCGGGCGGCATTCGCACAGGAATTGCCGCCTGCCGTGCTGGCCAGAACATCGAAGGCCGGACCCGACAGCTTCGTAAGGCAAATTTTCGCCCTGAACCGAAATTCGATCGCCGAGCGCTTGCTGGATGGGTTGCTCGCCGCGAACGGGGTAATCGACCGCCATGCCGTGGAAGCCGCGCTGCGCACTGATGAACGAGACGACAACAGCATGTTCGGTCGCATACTTGACCTGCTCGAAGCCGAGAATTGGGCTCGCTCATGGACCCGCTAATGGTTCAGCATGGCA